TTTTTTTTGGTGGTGCTGGGGATTAGACCCAGGGATGCTCTATCACTAAGCTATATCCTCAGCCCTTTTTATTTTTATCTTGAGACAGGGTCTCACTAAGTTGCCCAGTCTGGCCTCCAACTTGCAATCCTGCCTCAGTCTCCTGAGTCACTGGGATTACAAGTGTGTGCCATTGCACCTGGTTTRTATTGTTAATTTCATTTTTAAAGTTATTTATTTTTTGGGTACTGGGGATTGAACCCAGGGACCCTTTACCACTGAACCCTTTTAATATCCAAGCTCTTTTGATTTTTATTTTGAGACAGGGTTTCACTAAGTTGCTAAATGTCTCTCTAAATTGCTGAGGCTGGCTTTGAACTTGTGATCCTCCTGCTTCAGTCTCCTAAATTGCTAGGATTGTGGGTGTGAGCCACCACTCCCAGCTTGTATTATTATTTTTAGTCAATACATAATTGTACATTTTTTTATGGGCTACAGTGTGCTGCTATTCCAGTCCATGTATGCAATGTGTTAAAATCAGATCAGTGAACTGGCATATTCATCACCTCAAACATTTGTCATTTTTTTGTGCTGGGAAACTTCAGCGTTCTCTCTACTAGCTTCAGTGTGTTTTTCTAGTGGGACAAGCCCTTTGGCTCCTGTTCCTGTCCTTTGCTCCATGTCTGATGCTCTCATATGTTTGCAGGTACTCTGTTCCACCTGAACATGGAAAACGATTGGAGCGCCTCGCCAAAGGTATTGTCTCCTCCCTTCTGTGAGCTGTGTCTAGCTCTCAAATGTTCATTTTCTATGATAAGATCTTGTGTGGCCTTTCAGAGATTTACAGGGAGGGAATGGGCTCAACTGTATCCAAAAAGGTAACCTTTAGTTCTTCCTTTGATGGTCTTTGTCTCAGTTCCTCCAAGCACTGGTTTCTATAACCAGGAAAGTATACAAATCATTTTGATTCTGGTTCTTCTGCCAAAACCCAAACTGTTAAAGTAAAAATCAAGTTATTTCGTAGTTTGATCTTTATGTGGATTAGATTTGTACCTCTAGAGAATCTTATTTCAAGAAAGCCAGGGTAGATTATGCTATAGATTTGTTACTTTTGACAAAAGAGTGCAGTCTCAATCTTTCAGTATTGGAGAAAGTTCTAAAAAGTTTCAAAGTGCTGTTAAGAACAGAGGCAGCTTGGGTGTTGTCAGTCACCCAAACAAGTTTGATTACCCATGTAATACTCTATCTGGAGAGGTGCACTGTAGAATCTTAGGAGTCTGCCCAGAGATAGATAGATTTCGTTCAGATGAGATTTACAGGTATGAAGTGACTCCAGGATTATACAGCTAGTGTGGAGTATGGAATAAACTCAGACCCCTTGTGCATTTAAACAGGCTTTTTCCCAGGAAGTGCTCAAAGCTGTGAGGCTTTTCTCCGCCATAAGATGACCCTGATTTCCCCATTAATGCTGAAGAAATATGGCATTCCCTTTGACAAGGTGAGCTGACATTACATACGGAAGTCCTTAGGCTTACRTAGAGACAGCCCTTTTTGGTCTTTGTTTCATAGAATTTTATTCTAGTTTGTCACCATCACTTTGATTTAGGGTGGGAGTTTGATCCCAAAGGGGGGACTAGTGGGCCATGGGAGGAGCAGGTCATCTACACAGCACTGAACTTGGAGGAAGTGTTAATTATTGTCATGATATGCATCTAGTATCTTAAGGCTTTTCATTTTATACAAGCSAGAAGACCCCAGTAGTATATGACTTATCTGCGGTTGCTCAGCTAATTGGTGGCTGAACCAGAGCCCAGGAGTCCCATTTTATAGTCTCTGCCATATGTGCCAGCTGCTTTAAGTCTTCTCTCTCT